GAAATACTGCAAAATTAATGAATGTTAGAATGATGTCAGAATGAAGTTAAGTGGTTTTAGCAGCAATGTTATAAAGGCGTATGTAAAAATGGATTGTTAACAGGTGAGAATCTAAAGTTATAATATATTAAGTTAAAGGATTAAGATAAAAACAAAGAGGGAAAGGAATTGCTGAATTAACTAACTGAACTGGAATACAAAAAAGGGAGGTATGAGGAGGTCAGGGAAACAAGTAAATGAAAGACAAGACATGGAAAGATTGATTTGTTTTTAAGTGTTTTTATTTTTTCTGTATTTTGTATTTTTTCTTTTCTTTTTTTTCTTTTTCTTTTTTTTTGTAACCTTTTCTGAAACTTTAATAAATATCATTAAAAAAAAAAAAAAACTCTTCAGAGTTCTTTATAACTCCGGAAGAAGGGAAGGGGTGAGGCAGAGAGGGCTGGGCCAGAGTTGCATTTGAGCCAAAGTCCAGCAAAGGGAAAGCATAGAACAGGAACTCAATGGGCTGGCAGAGGCTGTATCCTGTTCCCACAGTGGGATGCCTATGAGCAGATACTGTTTCAATATAAGAACACACGCCCAGTAACTGAGTGTATGGATTCCCATCTAGGGATAGGAATGTGGAGCCTCACTCATGCAAGGCTTTGGGCCCAAGTTACTTGCAAGCCGGGGTATTAGGAAGGTGAGTTCCTTCTGGAAGGGATGGGTGTAGGGAAGTGAGAAGGGCCTCCCAGTATGTGCATGGTCAGCCAGTGATAGACCTTCATTTTGGGGGCCCTGAAGCTTGAACTGTTTTGGGGAAACAAGGTCTGGATAACCCCTGTTGCCTTCTTCAATGGGATTGTTACACGACAGATCACCACAAATTTTCTGCGAGTTTTCGTTTCTGGTATCCATTTAAGTACTTTTGTGGATTCATTGTTATTCCTCTGGGGTCTTAACCTCTGTTAAGAAGGGGCAGAACAGCCCCAGCAGTACAGCCAACTCACCACAACACTCCATCTCTACAACATCTGTTGCTACTGACTCTCACATTTTGGGATTGATGAAATATATACAACAAAAATCAATCAATTTGAGTCATGCAACTCAAGTTGGGTCTACTGGACCATTTTTAAAAAAAAAGCAATGTGGAGTAAAGTTTTTTTCTGGGGCCCCTCTGGGAATAGGTGCCCTGAAATATAAGATTCATTAGTTTCACAGTCGATCAGACCCGAGGCGAGCCCCAGAATTTGGGGAAACCTTGGGTGTTTATCCACCTCCTCCTTGCTGCTGTCATTTGCTGCCCATATGTCTACCTCTTTCCACTTTGGACCCAACCCGCACAGCCAGAAGGAACATAGAAAGAGAGTAGTGGTTGCTACACCTTCCCTTTTCTCCATCACTGCTTGGAGGGAGTTGGTGAAAAGGCAGCAGCAGCAAAGAGAGGAGGGAGCATCAGGGCCTGGGGTCTCTGGTGGCTGGAGTGTCAGCCTTGGCAAGTGCCCACTGATGTCCCTCCATGATGTCAGCCCTCATGCGCTAGAGAAGTAGGGATAGGGTACCACCGAGTTCTGTTCTGTTTTCAGTGTCTCCACTCACAGGGTGCCTCTAGACTGCTATCATTTTGTGAGAGGGATTCAACTGCATCCTGGAACTTTGGATTTGTGCAATGAGGGCTGTCACCCTAGCACAGGGGTCACGAAACTTTTTCAGCAGGGGGCTGATCCACTGTCCCTCAGACCTTGTGGGAGGCCGGACTATATGCGGGGGGGGGGGGAATGAACGAATTCCTATGCCCCACAAATAACCCAGAGATGCATTTTAAATGAAAGGACACCTTCTCTTCATGTAAAAACACTCTGATTCCCAGACCAGCCGCAGGTCAGATTTAAAAGGTGATTGGGCCAGATCTGGCCCCCAGGCCTTAGTTTGCCTACCCATGCCCTAGCACAACAAATCTGCCATTTTGTTGTTGGAAAGTGATGGGGGAATGCATTGTAAAGTGTGGGATAAACAAACAATTTTTTAAAAGGTAAAGGAGTCCTTGGCCTGAAAGCGAGATGAGCACGCAATCCCATAACGCCGCAACTATGGGGTTGCGGTGCTCATCTTGCTTTCAGGCCGAAGGAGCCAATGTTTGTCCACAGACAGCTTTCTGGGTCATGTAGCCAGCATGACTTAACTGCTTCTGGCGCAACAGAACACCGTGACGGAAGTCAGAGCACACAGGAACGCCATTTACCTTCCTGCTGCAGCGGTACCTATTTATCTACTTGCACTGGAGTGCTTTCAGATTGCTAGGTTGGCAGGAGCTGGGCCAGAACAACGGGAGCTCACTCTGTCACGGGGATTCGAACCGCCGACCTTCCGATCGGCAAGCCCAAGAGGCTCAGTGGTTTACACCACAGCACCACCCACGTTTAACAGGGAACCATGTAAGCATCCTACGAACAAATGCTTGCTGTCGTATAACCACCCTATATGCAAATCAGAATGAACAGTGAATGAAGACCAGACATTGTCTAACCGCTGCATAAGCTATATGCAATCACATCAGGATGCGTATTGAATAAACAGGTCATCTGCAGGTGCATACAGAGATGGCAAAGTGAAGCATTTTTAAAAAGAACACAAAAATAATGTTTAAAAGGTTTTAAAAAAACCTAGTCCCATACACCACGGATGCAATTATTATTATTATTATTATTATTATTATTATTAATCATCATCATTATTTAATTGAAGAAAATGATCGTTTGCTCTCCTTCAGCTTCCATAGTAGCCAAGCAGCCTTGCCCCAAGTTTTCCACTTTGGAAAAAGTTTCCTAAAGCTGAAGTTTGTCCAAATGAGACTCACTGCCTACTGTGTCTCCATAACACATACCAGGAGCATCATTTGTCACTGACTCTTTGGCAGAAGGAATTTGCCAAAGGCCTGCTGTGCCATCTAGTTAGAAGGCGACAGGGAAGCTCGCCAATCAGCACATTTTGGAATTTCTGCTCAGAAATGGCACTCTTCCCTTCCATTTCAGTGAAGATGGGTTAATGGCAGAAGGCTGTAGAAATAGCTCATGAGTAGAAAATTCATTGTCTTTGCGGAGGACACATTCATCCAAACTCTGAACAATTATCTTTCTTTCGGGCACTCCTGTCAAAATGAATGAATAAAGAAGAGCACTTCTGAATGCATACATCCACATTGTTGCTACCGTGCCAGGGAACATAATTCAGTTTTTTTGCGGTGCGTTTCATCATTGCATCGCATTGTTATTGCCTTTAAAAGCTTTTTGTACACCCTCTGGCCAGTTGACAAAGTTTTGTTTGGCAAGGTTGCTTTTCAAAGTTCTTCCACAGTAAATAGGCAATGCACTTGTAGGTGGTGGGCTCTCCATCCCTGGAGGTTTTCAAGCAGCTGTTGGACGGCCATCTGTCATGGATGCTTTAGTGGAGGTTCCTGCAATGGTTGGACTAGATGAGCCCCAGGGTCCCTTACGACTAACTCTGCAGTTCTGAGATTCTGTGAAATCAGGTTGGATTAGTAATCCAGGTAAGAGTGGCTGAGTGATCTTCAGGTGGTGGAAGTGGAAAATTCCACAATGAAGAAACCACCACTTTCTCACCCCTGCCAGCTCATGCCAACCAGGAGAAAAGGTATTCAGAGGTGGTATTTCTCCATTTGGCCGTTTGTAAATTCCCCCTCCCATTGCCACTATATCACAGCTGAGGAATCAGAGCGCAAGGACCACATTTCCTTGGGGGCAACCTTATGGGGGACACATGGAGGTGGTGGGTGGGGCTAGAGGCAAAAGTGGGTGGAGCAACAAAACTAAAATTTACCTTTGCACATCTTGCCAGTTGCTCCACCTGCTTCTCTCTGTACTCCGCCCAGGGAAGAAAGAGTTGTTTGTCAGAATTCAAGCACATGTTCCAGTCAGGCAAAAATACTCAAGGAGTGGGTAAAGATGGTAAGGATGTGGCCTGACAAGTGGGTGGGTGGCCTGGGGCAAGTCATAAGGACCAAACTATTGGTTATAGTTTAGTCTTTCTTTATTGTAATTGGTAAGGGTAAACTGTGTAATTATTATTTGCTGGTATTTAATTTTACTGTTTCCTATTATATTCTGATGGATTGTTGAATAGTGCTTCAGTTATTGTGAGTTTTTTGTATTTGGTCAGATTATTAGGTTTGTGGTCTTTGCTGCCTATCTTGTTGTTTCTTCAGCTTGTAAACTGCCTTGTATAGTAATGTAAGAAAGGTGGCATGCAAATTAAAATTGAAATGAGATGGAATGAGACAAGAGGGGGCTCCATTTGCCCCCTAGGCATCAGGTTCCCCACCCTGGCACTATGTGGATGGAAAATGACTGAGACAAGAAGGCGAGGAGGTATTGCCCCATTCCCATGCGTCTCACTTGGAGGAATATGTAGAAGAGGTGGTAGAAAAATTCAAAGGTGGCTTTTGTTCACATTTGATCAACCTGACAGCAGCTCAGAAAGCGAGAGCTTTGCAACCCAATGTCAGATAAAAAGGAATCCATGTATTTGCAGTGAGGATATAACCGACTCACTATTCCTAACTACTAGGCTTATGATAGGACCTGATACAGCATTGATTTTATTTTGGCATCCTTCTGCAGCATCACATCAGAACATACCTGCCTATTGAAGCAGCGCTGATCGTGCCTCTAGGGGACTTCAGATATTCTGGAATTCAGCCTAAAGTAATGCAGAACGATTTTGACCATAAGCCACGCAAGACACAAAGAATGAATGTTGGCACCTCGGGCAAATTGAGTACTGTTTCAAAGGGTCTATCTTCACTGCAAAATCCTAAAAAGGGTTATGCCTCTTTAATTTTCACAGGTTCTCTCCTAAGGCAAAGAAACAAAACAAAACAAAAAGTTACTGGGACTAGCAATAGGCTGAGACATTAAGAACCCTTTTGAAGCTTTGAATTGTAGAGTTGGAAGGGACCACAAGGGTCATCTAGTCCAACCACTTGCAATGCAGGAATCTTTTGCCCAACAGGGAGGTCAAACCCAAGACCCTGAGATTAATAATCTCATGCTCTTATCAACTGAGCTATCCCTGAGGCTCATTAGATACTCTAAGCTCCTCACAGAACAACAGTTCCAAGAGTTCCATAGGAAATGACTACTGAACCAGGTTAAGTCTGTAGTGTGAATATGCCCAGGTCTTTTTTAAAAAATGTCTTTTACAGCCTTCCCTAACTTGGGGATTCCAAATGCTGCTGGACTGCAATTCCCACCATCCCTGACCATTGACCATGCTGACTGTGGCTGATGGGAACTGGAATCCAACAACATCTGAAAGGCATCTCCCACTGTGGGTTTTAGGAATACAAAATCTTCCACCTGGCAATGTCCTTAAGATCACCATAATTAACCTTACTTAGATTGATGGCACTGGACAGCTGACAACTCCTCAAGCAAGCCAAGAATATAGTTTTGGGGGTGGATGGCACTCATTGCATGCCTCACCATTAGCAAGAAGGATGCAGAGCGAAGTCAAATATTTGAGCTATTCTGTTCCATATTTTCAGTGGGGGGAATCCATCCAGGCACATCATCCATGCAGCCAGCATTTGTTAGAATACGAGGCGCTTTTCTCAGCTTGAGGGGATTATGCCCTTCTGATTCCTTGGAGAAAGCTGTGTTTTCTTTTTCCTTGGCAATTGTGGTTGCATTTTACTTTCAGATTCAGCTGCAAAATGAATATTGTAAAAATTTCAAGGTTTTGGAGATACAACATGAAAGCTGTGCAGGGCCAGAATAGCATCTGTTGCAGCAGCTGTGGTAATATCTCCCATACAAAGAGCACGGGGCGAGGGGAACAAAAAATTAAAAATAGGGTCCAAAAAAATGTGATTAGAGGGGGTGAAATATTGCCCTCCCTTTTTTCCATAGGCCATTTTCTCTGTTATAGCTCTTTCCAAATACAGAAGACTGTATATATTTGCCATAATCATAGGCCAACTCTGAATCAAGCCCAAGGCCTTTGAACTAGGAAGTACTTCCTTATCTTTGCCCACTGAATTTAAATATACAGTGACAAGCTGTGTGATGTATGTGAGCGTATCTTTCGGAAAAGTGGACCAGCTCACTTCCTGTCCAGAGTCAGCCCAATGATGAGCTGGGGTGAGCTTAGGAGGTGACAGGTTGCACCCTTCATCTGACACCAATGGGAATGTCACCTTTGTGGTCTGCCAGCTCCTTGTTTGACTGCTGTTTAACTTAGGGTTGCCATATTTCAAAAAGTAAAAAAACCCACATGATTTTTGATTGACTTGCCTAAGAGCCAGGACAAAGCACCACCTTTCAGAAATTTCCCCTGGACGTCAAATCCGCCTTTGAAATCCTAATAATGTCCAGGAAAATCCACATGTATGGCAGTCCTAGTTTAACTTCCTGCCACTTCCTGTCCACTATACAGCCAGTGATGGAGTACTTCCTGCCTGCCTACCCACCGCCCTTGGAGTGCTGCTGCCAACACTGCATTGCTTGCAAAATAGTGGTGATGCAGGCAATCTCCGTAGCCAGCTTAACCACAAATTGTATTTGCCAAGATTCTTGGGAGAAGCCATGGCTGTTTAAGGTGGTGTGATAGTCCCTGAATGAATCGTGTAGCTGTGGTCTAGGAGAGGAGAGGAGAGGAGAGGAGAGGAGAGAGAGAGAGAGAGAGAGAGAGAGAGAGAGAGAGAGAGACGTCCTGAACCTGGCAACTTTATCATATGGCAGAGAAAATATTTCTAATTCCTAGGCACCACATCATGATTTTGGGGTGCTAGGATCAGCTTCTTATGGCTACAGTCCTAAATATGGCTGTATATATTTGCCATAATCATAGGCCAACTCTGAATCAAGCCCAAGGCCTTTGAACTAGGAAGTACTTCCTTATCTTTGCCCACTGAATTCTGAATAGAAAACATCACATCAATTCCATGAAAATATATATGTGCTCATAATCGAATTAGCATGCAGTGGTCATATCACTAAGGGGAAAAGAACCCCTATCACTCCAAGAGCATTTTTGTTTTTACCTTGAATATTCACAGTTGTGCACAGTCAGGTAGCCATTAGCCTTTATAGAGATTTGCTACAAAAATTCCAGCATGCTGTGTAAAGAATATAAGGGCAAATGTTTTCCATAAGCTTTCTTGCTCTTCAGTGTAAACTTGGTGGGTGCATTCATGCTTGTAATGAAGAAGAGCTGAACTCAGTGAATCTGATCACAAAGTAGTTCACCCACCTACATTTTGTAGAAAGATGCAGAAGCCTATTGCCATTGTATCCAAAGGCTGTTTAGTTCTCTGAAAGAGCTTGGCCCAATTCTTCTTCTGGTACTTGGGCATGATCCACAGATTGGAAGGCATGCTTAAGTTCTTTTTAAATAATGTGAGAGATATTTTGCCATCAGAGGCATTAGGAAATCAGCAGATTGCTTTGAATAACAACTCAGCTTACCTGAACATGGAGTTTTCCCTTGACCTGGAGACAGCAGCTAAAATATACACAGTCCAGAGATGGATGTTTTCTCTCCACCCAACCAAGTGTCCCTATTTTCCGGTGACAGTCCCGGATTTACAGAAGCTGTCCCAGTTTCTGATTTAATCCCATAATGTCCTGTTTAGGACAACCCTATCTTCATCAGTCAACCCTATTTTCATCAGAGAAATGTTGGAGGGTATGGTAGGCTATCCCTATTTTCATTGGAGGAACGTTAGAGAGTATGGAGTCATTTGACCCCTGAGCCATCTGAAGGCAGGGAAGTTTTTAAAAATGTTTTGTGTTTTATTATGTTTTTATATATGTAGGAAGCCTCCCAGAGTGACTAGGGCAACCCGCTCAAATGGGCAGGGTATAAATAGTAAAATTATTATGGAATAGGATGTACCTATTTTCAGCGGAGCAATGTTGCGGGGTATGTGCAAGGCAGTGATTCAAAATGCTCTGGGACATGGTTAGGCAGAAGTGGGCTTACTCATCCAGCGACATCCCTGCCTCAGTGCCTCACTCAAGGGTATATTTTTATCTTAATGAGTTTATATAAACCACTTTCAGGGTTGTTGTTGTTTTTTACAACAAGCAGCCTACAGAAAAAGCTCAACAACTTGTCTGTATTTTCACTTTTTGAAATATGGCAACCCTAGTTAAGGATGCAAAAAGTTGTTGTTGTTCTTGTTTAGTCGTTTAGTTGTGTCCGACTCTTCGTGACCCCATGGACCAGAGCACGCCAGGCACTCCTGTCTTCTACTGCCTCCCGCAGTTTGGTCAAACTCATGCTGGTAGCTTCGAGAACTCTGTCCAACCATCTCATCCTCTGTCATCCCCTTCTCCTTGTGCCCTCCATCTTTCCCAACATCAGGGGCTTTTCCAGGGAGTCTTCTCTTCTCATGAGGTGGCCAAAGTATTGGAGCCTCAGCTTCAGGATCTGTCCTTCCAGTGAGCACTCAGGGCTGATTTCCTTAAGAATGGATAGATTTGATCTTCTTGCATCCATGGGACTCTCAAGAGTCTCCTCCAGCACCATAATTCAAAAGCATCAATTCTTCGGCAATCAGCCTTCTTTATGGTCCAGCTCTCACTTCCATACATCACTACTGCGAAAACCATAGCTTTAACTATACGGATTTTTGTTGGCAAGGTGATCTCTCTGCTTTAAAGATGCTGTCTAGGTTTGTCATTGCTTTTCTCCCAAGAAGCAGGCGTCTTTTAATTTTGTGACTGCTGTCACCATCTGCAGTGATCATGGAGCCCAAGAAAGTAAAATCTCTCACTGCCTCCATTTCATTCCCTTCTATTTGCCAGGAGGTGATGGGACCAGTGGCCATGATCTTAGTTTTTTTGATGTTGAGCCTCAGACCATATTTCGCACTCTCCTCTTTCACCCTCATTAAAAGGTTCTTTAATTCCTTCTCACTTTCTGCCATCAAGGTTGTGTCATCTGCATATCTGAGGTTGTTGATATTTCTTCCAGCAATCTTAATTCCGGCTAGGGATTCATCCAGCCCAGCCTTTCGCATGATGAATTCTGCATATAAGTTAAATAAGCAGGGAGACAATCTACAGCCTTGTTGTACTCCTTTCCCAATTTTGAACCAGTCAGTTGTTCCATATCCAGTTCTAACTGTAGCTTCTTGTCCCACATAGAGATTTCTCAGGAGACAGATGAGGTGATCAGGCACTCCCATTTCTTTAAGAGTTTGCTGTGGTCGACACAAAGGCTTTTGCCATAGTTTGCTGTGGTCGACACAGTCAAAGGCTTTTGCATAGACAATGTAGCAGAAATAGATGTTTTTCTGGAACTCTCTAGCTTTAGTCATAATCCAGCTGTTAGAAGACCCCTATTCCTTGCCGAGAGCAAAAAAAAAAGTCTGGAGTGAATTGGCAATCAATCCCCTCTTCTCAGGAAATTTTGTGAATTGTACCTCTGAGAGCGGAACAGGGATCTCCTAACAACGCCCAACAGCCAATGTTGGTCAACATGGGACTGAACTTCAGGTACTACCTGCAGACATTATCAGCTCTAGGCATTTGTGTATTTTTAATGCTACACTACTATTTTGATGTTTTTTTGCTCATACACTTGCAACTATACTGGAAATTGCCCCCTGCCCTGGAAAGAGTGACAACACAGCTCCAGATATACTGGAATGAAACTACCACCCCAGACTCATAAACCTATCTCTATCAAGTCTTATCTCTTGATCTGCTCACAGGCTAAGATATCTTTGACCATCTTCACCTGGATATAAAGGGGTACTTCTAAACTGCTCAACCCCCCTGCCCACTGTTCTCATGTTCAAAGCAATGTTAACTATTGCACCAGGCGTGAAACCTTTGTTCTTGGTGAGCTAGTTTTCAACATGCAGGATTTTTCTCTCTCTCTTTAAAAAGACTGTGATCTTTTCACTTGTGGTCTGAAAGCCACACCATGCGATTCTCCTGGTTATGTATTCCAGCTCCTGGTTGCCTAGAGAAATTGTGAAAATGGCTTCATTTCAAATATTAGTGTTTCTGGGGCAATTGTTTGCAGTCCTGGAAATTCTTGTTGGCAGAGGTGATGGTGGCTGTC